GTGCAATCCTAGACTCTTAGCAACCCAGCAGATCCAGTCCGGCCATCCGCGATGGGGCCGTCGGCACTTACCGGAGAGCAGAGGGATGCCTGGGAGAATGGTGGGTCCGAAGAAGCAGCGAGCTGGGCCTGACAGTCTGGACTTCAATAAATTATATTTTCTGGCTGGGGACGACAAGACCTAAATCTGAAACGTGTGTTACACTTACGCATCGTTATGCCCCGGAAGGGGGAAGGAGAGCAGCACCTTGTCCCAAGTTTGTAGCAAAAATTGTGTGGTGTGTAAATAGCTCTGAGGCCTTTGATGTGGAGCAGAGAGGAAAAGAATCCTCTCAGAAACACCAGGCAGGAGCCGAGGCCTCGGCAGCACAGGCAGGGAGGCTGACAGAGGCGTGCAGCCAGCGTGAGCCTCGCTGCCTCTGAGCCCCTTCTCCTGCCCGCACAAAGGTAGACTGTCTTAGTCCCTAGAGGATTATTTCCTCTAATACTTTCATGCAGCAGCAAGCAAAACTGCTTAGGGACAATTAAGTGGGAAGCCGAGACGGCCTCAGCAGGCAAAGGGAGGGGAGGGAGGGGGGGGGATACGCGGTCAGGCCCAGCTCCAGCCAGAGTCAGCAAGGCTGGCCGGCCCCGAAGGCCGCCTCCCAGGGGAGGGCAAGGGGATATGGGTTGGTAGTACCTTAGCCCCTTCATTCGTTCATCCAGACGGACCCAGTCCCTGCCCTCTGAGAGCTTACAGTCTGGCGGAAGATGTGCCCAACGGACGATCACGTGAACAACCATCTAGTTGCACACTCTGATACGCACTGTAAAGGAAGAAACAGGAGGTATGAGGTCGTAAGATAGGATGTCCCAACTGAAATGGAAGCCGGGAGCAGGGGTGGTGGGTGCTCAAGCGAGGCCTCTGGGGAAGCAATCACAGGAAGGTAGACGGAGGGTATTCGAAGAACATGGTAGGTGGAGGAAACAGCCTGTGGAAGGGGCCTACGGGGGGAAGAGCTTATTGTACGTTCCAGGAACTAAAGAGGCCGGTGTGCTCGAAGCACGTGAGAGAAGGGAGGACTAGAGACGGGGCTGAACCATACAGGGCCCCGTGACGATTTGGGGACTTATCCTAAGTGCACCAGGAAGATGCAGAAGGGGGTTAGGCCTCTTTTTTTTCTTTAGGTTTATTTATTTACTTTTTAGAGAGAGAGAGAGAGGGCAGCAGAAGGGCAGAGAGAGAGGGAGAAAGAGACGATCCCAAGCAGGCTCTGAACTGTCAGCACAGAGGCCTATGCGGGGCTCAAACCCACAAACTGTGAGATCATGACCTGAGCCGAAGTCAGATGCTTAACCAACTGAGCCGCCCAGGTGCCCCAGGCCTCTTTATGGTGATCCTGACTTGAGAAAGAACCTGGCCATCTCTCAGACATGGAGTGGTCACCCACCAGCGTCCCGCCTCTCTGGTCACCACCACGCTGACCACACTTCCCTGCAGGAGCCACCACCTGGGCCTAGGACAAGTACCAGGCCCGGCAAGGGGACAGCCACGGATGGGGAGTGAGTCTCTATCACAAAGATCTGTCTGCTCCCTCCTCTACATGGGAAGACCTTAATGCATGAGGCTTCCATGGTGCCAGCCCAGTGCCCGCCGCAGATCAGGCACTCTTGTCAATGATCAGCTGAAGGTAGCAATCCCTTAGAGCCTCCCTCTCCTGTTGTAAGTGGAGAAGCTGAGGGAGACTGGAGTAAAGGAAGTGCAGACTGAACCAGGAGTCTGGTCCCAAACAGACACGGCCTCACTGCGCAGCCTCAGGCAAATTGCTTCCTCTCTCCCAGGTCTGCGTCTCCTCCCCTGTGAAGTAAGTTGGGTGGGCGAGATGGTCTGTAAGGCCCCTCGGAGTTCTCGTGCCTTGTCATCACCCTCGGGAGCTCACGGAGGGTCCATGCCCTTTATCAACAGCCCCCACCCAGCGCATCTGGGATCTCAGACACTGGGCCGGGATCACCGTCGACTCTAGGAGGAGGCATCACATTCTAACCTCAGCCCAATATTCTGGAGTCCAAGTTCCAAGTGGAGGTGGGGTGGGGGGTGGGGTGGTTGGAATTTGCAGTAATTTGGTGCGAAGATGAAATGTACTTTTCCTTACAAATCTCCTTAGATAGATAAGCAATTAATAGTATAATTAATTTTGGACGCAACAAGCATATTTAGTGGATCTACAGAGAAAAACTCTATTAGAGCACCCAGAAGTCACTCCAGATGTGTTCAACCCCTTGCAAAAGATGCACCAACTATAAAATTCTCTCATCCGTTCATTGCAGTGGTCCCCGAGAACATGTCTCCAGGGGACAAATTCGTTAGCCAAGTGCAGTTGCTCTACATGATAAAGCTCAGGGTTTATTTTATTTTATTTTTTTAAAAATCCAGTTCCAGTTGTTCTCCCCCACCATGAAGCAGAAGGGTTTGGCTGTCCTGAAATAGCGCAGCTAGTCAGGGACTCAGAGACATTTTGGATGGTGACGAAAATGTGGTCTCTGGAAGCCGGGCTTGTACTTCTCGGCAATCCTCCTAATTCTTGCACATAGTAGGAGCGCATGCATGTGACTATTGACTGGCTGATGGAAAAAGCAAGGCAGAGAAACAGTATATGGCTCAGAAAGGTCCCAGGGACCAAGACCCAGGAGAGCACATCCAGAAAGAGCATGTGTTAAGACACTCATGGGTTTGTGTCTCAGCGTCGCTATTTATTTGCTGTGTGACTTAGACGAGTCACTTAACATCCCTGGGCCTTGGTATCCTCCTCTGCACAATGGGAGCAGCAATGCCCACAGAGTCATGGCTTCAAGAGTTAAATGAGATAACACAGATGAGTGACTAACAGTGTGTCCGGCACACTGTAGAGGCCTCTCTTCCTTCCTTTCATCAGGCCTTCAAGATCTGCATGAGAAAGGCAGCTTCCAGCACCCACCCCTGCTATTTACCTGCCCCCCCCCCCCCCCCCCCCCCACTGAAGGATGGGAAACCAAAGAGCTGCCTCTTGGCCTCCATGCTGCAGGAGGGGACAGTGCAGTGGAGCATGGCCAAGGAGGGGCCTGGGCCCAAACCTCAGTGGCCACAGAGACCCAGTGCAGTTGGCCTGGCTCCCTTCCAGCCAGTTTTGCCAGATATAATTTGGCTTCAGCTCGAGGTTCCAAAGCAGTTATGTAAGCATAATAACCCATAGCATTTGTAGAAAGCTTTTAGAGTTTTCAAAGCACGTTTGCATGTATTACCTCGGCTGATCCTCTCAGGAACCTTGAGGGGTAGCTAAAGAAAGGACAAGCACTACCATTTTATAGATGGAGAAGTTGAGGCCTGGAGGGCTTACTTGGTTCACCCATAGTCACATGACTAATAATCCCATTCTATAGATGGAGAAGTTGAGGCCTGGAGGGCTTACTTGGTTCACCCATAGTCACATGACTAATAAGTGGCAACATCAAACTTGGACAAAGATCTCTGCATCCCTTGCCCCGGGCCTTTCCCACTCCATCACACCACGTCTTTGTAATCACGTAATCCGTCAAGCCAAAGCGGTACAAACACCTACTGTGTGCCAGACAATTTGTTAAGCCCTTGGATTCAGAAGTGAATGGCAGAGTCAAGTTCAGAAGTTCAGAAGAGATATAAGACCAACTATTTGGGGCATGTGATAAGCTGCCGTGGTGAAGGAGCGAGGGGAACAGTGAAAAGGGGAGTAGCCCAACTTGGTCCAGGGGCTCAGAAAGGCTTCTGGAGGAGGAGACACATCAATCCAGTCTTGGACAACTGTTAGAGGCTATCCAGGCAGGAAGAGGGGTGAGAGGAGTTACAGGCAGCAGAAGCAGCAAATAGAAAGCCACCAGTGTAGGAACCAGCAGGGCACATCCAGTGGTGCTGTAAGTCATCTGATCTGGCTCCATCCACCCACTCACTCACTCATTCATTCATTCATTCATTCATATATATCTGGAACACCCCCCATGTGAGGTGCCGTACTAAGCACTGGAGATAGACACCTCAGCTAACAAGCAGGTGTAGTCCCCAAATGCACGGAGCTCCCCTGCTCATGGATTTCCATGGACACAGATGGGAAGCTGTAGGATGGGGTAGGCAGAGGGCATCACAGAAGGCTGGGTATGGAGGGCCTGGCTTTCAGCCTATGGGAGCTGGGGAGCCCCGATGGATTGTAAGCCTAGGATTAACAAGATGAGGCTTGCATTTCAGAAAGAATGAGTCACAGTGAACTTGGAGAATGGACTGGAGAAGGTGGTCTGGAATCCAGGGGCCCAGCTAAGAAATGGCAGCAGCTCAAGCAAACAATGGCTGGGTCCTAAGTTATGGCAATGCAGTAGGGAGAAGGCAAAGTGCAAGCTGGACGTAGAGACAGCCTTGCCCAGGCCCTGCTGGCTAACTGGACAAGGGGGTGAAGAAGAGGAAGAGTGGACAGCCACCCTGAGGGTCTGGCTTGAGCCTCTCGGCACATGGCGATGCTATTCCCTGGGACATGAGGGCAGGGGACCCATCTGGTGGGGCAGAGAACCCGAGGAAGTTTGTTCCCCTGGGACTCGCTGAGTGTCAGAGGACCGTGGGTCCCCCTGAAGTCATGCTCCTCGGGCAGTGGGGTCAGTGTGTGTGGAGCCCAGGAGAGAGCCTGGGGCTGGAGATGCAGATTGGCTTACAGATATTCAACATTTGGAAGTGGACAGGACCATCCGGTGTCCCGGGGGGAGTAGTGCCCAGAGGGAGAAGAGACAAGATCCCATGGCAACAAACATCAAAGGGTATCCAGATTTGTTCTTGGATTTGTTCTTGGATGCCAGAATCCCACTTGGCAAAAGTCAGACCATTAGCCACAGTGAGGAATCATCGGTCCCCAAGAGGGCTTGACCATGACGGGCTGTGGGGACTCTGGCCTGATGTTGCACTTCTCGGGTCTCACCCATCTCTAGTCTGAAGTCACTCACGTGCTTCTCTCCCTTTCATCTCTCCCCCAGGTGTTTACAAAATATGGGAAGTGTTACATGTTTAACTCAGGCGAGGATGGCAAACCTCTGCTCACCACGGTCAAGGGCGGGACAGGCAACGGGCTGGAGATCATGCTGGACATTCAGCAAGATGAGTACCTGCCCATCTGGGGAGAGACAGGTGAGCTGGGCACAGGGACTCGGGCTGTGGGTGATGGCGGAGGGGTGCAGGACTCTGAAAGACTGGTTTGCTTCAGGTGGGCTATCTTGAGGGACTACTGTCTATCGGGGAGCGGGGGGGTGACAACATACTAGCGAAGGGTAAAGATGTCCCTGCATGGACTGTGATGCTCTGGGTTTCCTCAGATTTCAGTAGGTGGGGGAGGGGCAGATGACAGGAACACTGGAAAAGGAAGGCAGGGAGGCTGAGGCAGGTGTTGGGAAGGAGGCATGGAGGAAGATATGATTGGGCAGGCAGGTGGCTTGATTTCAGGGAAGAGGAAGACATGAACACATGGGTCAGCCATCTTCCTCTTCCAGCCATCTTGACTATCCCAACCCAGCTGGGAGGCCCAGCAGAAAGGAGAGCAGGGTCCTCCCACTGGGGGAAGGTGGACGAGCTTGTAGGGTCGGAAAGCCAAAGGGCATGGACTCAGGGGCCTGACACCATGCTTGCATGAGCCCCTTGGGGGTGGGGGGTGAGCATGTGTACAGGCCCCAGAGCTATTTCATGTACATGTTTATTCATTTATGTATTCGGCAAACTATTCATTAGCCATGTATATGGTGTCGGGCTTCGCACGAAGGACATTAAGGTAAAAAAAAGACCAGGTCCTTGGTCACACAACCTTGAGGAGGAGACACACAATTACAGTCCAATGTGACACGAGTGTACCCATGCTACATAGACAGCATCCTCCCCCTGAGGGGAGGATGTTCAGGGAAAGCATCATATTCCCCTGGGCATTTGTACAGAGTCTTGGGGGCACATGGGTGTCTCTGTCAGTTGAGTGTCTGACTTTGGCTCAGGTCATGATCTTGCAGTTCGTGAGTTCGAACCCCGCATCGGGCTCTGTGCTAATGACTCAGAGCCTGGAGCCTGCCTCAGATTTTGCATCTCCCTCTCTCTCTGCCCCTCCTTGCCCAGCTCGTGTTCTGTCTCTCTG